ATGAAGAACTTCATACATCACTGGCTGCATTCTGTGTCAGAAGCTGATTTTCAATCAAACAATACTTATATACAGTACATAGCAACAAGAAGCACTGATTGAAAGAATTAATTTATCTATTTTACATAAACCTGCCTGGCAAAGTAACTAACTTCCCACTAATGGTTTTATTCTTCCTTGGACTTCTCCTAAATATAGCATCTTGGAAAACCTGCACCATTCTTGGCACCGTTTGCTTCTGTGGCCTGACCATTTATACAACTGAGAGTTCCGTGTTACAGGGTGTGGTAGCCCAACTAACTTATTTCAGTAAATGGGGACACATGTGTTTCCAAATAAGAAAACTACTCTACCTCTTGAGGCAATGTTACCATAACAGAATAAAATGTCTTCAGCTTTAAACATATCTACAAAAGACATTCTTTACTTTAGCAAGGACTCTTAAGCAGTAGCATTTGCTGTTACACTTTCCAAATGTTTTTTTTCAAATTCCATATTTTGTTAGCAAAGGTCTTTTCCTAGTTGTTTCTCAAAATGAGTGTAATTTGAAACTCTTAAGTTTATTCTTATTGCACAGATAGGCTGGACTAAAGCATTGGGCAATGGATACGCTATTTACAGATTACATGCAAGTAAGCATGGGCAATAATTTAAAGAAACTGCCAGATCTATTTTCTGTAGGGCCCTATCTGAAAAATTCAAAACACTGCATCAGAATATCCTTAGCCCCTGCTTAGTTAGTCTCCAGTGTCTTGATATTATAATACTGTTATTTTGCCATCATTAAAAAAAAAAAGTCAACCAAAAATACCAAACAAGAAAAAGACACACCCCACTTTTCCTTCCCCTTACTACTTGTCTTTCAAAAAGAAATCCAAGCAAAAATTCTTCTCATCTCCCTTAACTGAAACAACAAAATCCGGAACGCTTATGTATATCTAGCAAAGCTCAGCTGTCTTTTGAAGCTATCCGACTTCAAATGATACTAACTTTATAACACCTTGATGACAGAGTAATAACAAAACATTTTGTAGGAAAATAATCATTGAAATATAATTTCAGTAAAGCACAGTGTTTCATGATGCAATTCTGTACATGCAGTCCAATACAGTGATGCTAGGAGAAGGGAAAAAGGCTCAAAACAAACTGAGCAAAACAGGTCATGTATTTGAAATGCAAGTAGCCTTTGATATTCCGAGGTTTAGGTTTTGTTTAATCAAACTATCAGCCAGATTATTCCACGTGCTCGTGAACTACAACTTCAGCTACAATTCCAGTACTGCAGTCCAACTATTCCACAGCACTAGAACACCAAAATGCCAACAGAAGAAAAAAAAAACCAAAATTGAAGCATGGGATCACAATATCTAAGTAGAAAACTTCTAAACTATTTTTCCTTTGGCTGCTCCAATAATACCATTATTATAATAGAACCACGTATATAAATATATTCAGGGAAATTCTAAAAGGGATTATTCTTATTTTGCTTCCTCAAGATTATTTTCATAACAATGAGAAATATTCATGTAGAAAGTAGATTACCAACACACTGGAAAAGGGCGCAACACAGAGGAGTGATTGGTCATTCAGATAGCTAAAACTTTCACCCAGGCTCCCATTCTCCCTTAACTTGATTACTGCTGGATGAATCATATTTCACTGTCAAAGCCCTTCACAACCTGTTGCTACTACCACCTTCATCTCTCGTTCACCACAGAAATGTTGAACTGCCACTGTTAACTATATAGAGCCCATCTTCTACATTTTTAAAATATCTTACGACCTTCTCCTGGGTTTTTTGCTATTTGAGAGATATTTTCTGAAAAATTCCACTAAGCTGTCCCAGTATCTTACTTCAAAATCAGTTTCATTATTTTATTTTTCCCCCCAGAACAGGTGTTCAGGAATGTTACATTATTGCCAGGGCTGTTGACTAAGAAATAGATCAGCCAATCCAACTGCAGGATGTCACTTCCACTAACCCCAATTTTCAACTGAACCAATGGTAAGCAAATAAATAATGAATAAACTTTAAAAACCCACCTTGAACAACTCCCCAAACCTACCTAAGCAGAGCTATGACAAGCTATGTCACTTAACTAGCTCAGTCCAGATTCAAATTACCATGTAAGGAACATGAATGTGCACAAGTCTATATGACCTGGTCTGTGAGAAATGAACAGAAAAAAGAAGACAGAAAAAAAAAAATCCATTAAAGGAATTATTATATGTACAAGTATATTATGACATCAACTTATGAGGACATAAGACATTTCTAGAGATATAAAACTGTGAAACATTTTGGAAAATATACCACATGTTACACAGAAAAACCTGAGTATTCTTTTGAATACTTAGGTTAAAAAATGGGCAAATGATTATCTCACCCTTACCCTCGTGCCCCCAATTTTTGCTATGGCATTCCTAGCTTGCAAATGTTTATAGAGGAGAGTTTTCAGAAATTCTCAAAGGAGAATATCGGACTAGGTCTCCACATGACATACTTTGAAGAAAATTCTTTTATTTTCGTCAAATAAAGAAAATATTTTTCTTTAAATATATTAAAGGAAATACATTTATGTATTTTCTTTATATATAAAGGGGTGGGGGAGGGTGTCATGATTTTGGCTGGGATAGAGTTAATTTGACTTAGAAGTCGGTACAATGCTGCATCATGAATTTAGTAGGAGAATAATGTTGGTAACACACTGATGTGTCAGGTATTGCTAAATAGTGCTTAGTCGAAGTCAAGGACTTTTCAGTTTTCCATGCTCTGTCAGTGAGGAGGTGCATAAGAAACTGGGAGAGCGTGGCCAGGAGACAGCTGACCCAAACTGGCCACAGGGATATTCCACACCACAGAGCAGATCTTGCCCAGTAGATAAACGGGTGGGAGTTGGTCCAGAGGAAGGGCTGGGCATTGGTCAGTGGCCAGTGAGCAATTTTATTCTGCATCCCTTGTTTCCCTTGGGTTTTAATCCTCTCTCTCCTTTTCATTACTGTTAGTGTCATCAGTAGCATTTAGTATTTTTATTACTCTGTTTCAATTATTAAACTGTTCTTACTTTGCCTGCAGTTCTCCTCCCCGCCCAGCTGCTAGGCAGGGGAGGAGGGGCTGAGCCAGAGGCTGTGTGGTACTTAGCTGCCAGCTGGGGTTAAACCAGGGCAGGCTCCAACTAATGTAAAGCTGCGTTTTTAAATTTGCAACTAATTGGTCTGTACATTTCATAATCAATATTCACAAACGTTTCCGTCTGACACAGTGAAAATAAAATTATCATTCCTCAGTCATGTAGCATTTATATTCATGAGCAGTAAGTAAATATTTAGATTTAGTGTGAAGCTAGAGGCATCAGCTCTGTAACCACATAGGCAGTCCCTTAGGTACACTCCACTTATTTTTCTGAAGGATTCAAAAACAAACACACAGTGCAGTTCTGCAAACACATGTATTTTATATACTACAGCAATACATCAGATCAGCAGATGACACGGCAACATAAAAACACCTGACCCTCCGTGCTTCGCTTAAGCCAAGCCTTCAATTTAAAATGTTCTCTACTACGTAAGACAAAAGTAGCTCAAATGACAAAGTCCCGTAAGAAAAATTCCACAACTAGGAAGAGATCATTTGCGTTAATATGTATACAGAGTGAAAATACCGGACAATTTAGCTTTAGCAAAGGTGAAAGAACATTAGCCATACACCTGCAATCGTATACTGCTACGAAAAAAAAAAAAAAGAATGCCTGAAAGACCCACAGCATTCTTGGAAACTTTTGAGATGTTGAAATTTTAAAACAGTAAATATTTTCACAACTAAACGCACGGTTTTCAACTTGATCAGATCTTAGGTAGACAGCAACTATGACACCAATACTGATGATGAAACAGCAAGCCTGAGGACAGCAAAAAGTTGCTAAAATGCATGTGCATCCACTACATTTTGTAGGTTTTACTTTAAATAATTCTCAAAACTGAGTAAGTCAAAGCAACATGAAATGTGTAATAAATAGGACGGCTACAAAACGGATTCTATAATTTTGAACTCCCCAGGAATGGATTAATCTTTCAAGAGGAAAACCCACTGCTGAAACAACCGCAAGTCACGCTTCGCACCAGCACTGGAGGGGTACAGAAAGCAGAGGGTCACACCCCCAACACCATGAGGTGTCAAATTTCTCCTTTTCCAGGTCGCCACTAAGTACTGCGCCAGACTAATAACACGTATATACGCTGGCAAGGCCAAAAAAAAGTTCGCTGATCGCACAAACCTTGCCGAGAAGCATTTACAATAGATACACTGAGAAAGAATAAAAAGCGATTTAAAAATGACCTCAGTCACAAGGCCTGGCTGATTTTTCACCCCTCTCCCGCGGGGGTAAAACAGGAGGGCAGTGCCCCTTCCCAGCACTCTGGCCCCGCGTGTCCTGCAGATGGTTAAAACCGAGGCGGTTCAAGCAGCGGGCGCAGACTGAGGGCAGCCCCAGCTCGCCCCGCCGCGGGCTCCGGGCCCGCCCCCGCCCTGCCGAGGCACCGGGGGAGACGGGCGGGCACCGAGGGGACCTGGGCAAGCCCCCGCCGCCCCCGGGGCCACAGACGCGACAGCAGAGGCAACGACAGCAGCGGCCGCGGCGGCAGCGCAGAGGGCGGAAGGCGAGGGGCGGGGAGGAAAGGAAAGGGCGGATCCGCATCCGGGCTCGCCCCGCTCCCTGACGCGCTCACTCACCGATCATGGCGGACGCGCGGCAGGAGAGGGGCGGCGCGTGCACGCGCGCGCACGTGCCGGCCGCGCCTGCCTCTCGAGCGCTTCTCCCTGTTAGCCGCCCTGGGTGGTCGCGCGACTGCGGGCGGGGTGGGCCGGCCCGGAACGCGCATGCGCCTCAGTGAGGGAGGTGGAGGCGCACGCTGGGCTCTCTGGGTAGTGTAGTTCCCGGCCGGTTCACACCCGCACACGCTCTTCGCACGTCATCGCCTCATCTTTCCCCCACACACCGCTAATGACTTTCTCGTTAATTGCTGTCCGCCGCCCCGGTGTGCGGTGCACCGGGGGTAGGTACAGCTGTGCGGGAACGGGCGGTGCCGACGGGGTTATCCGTGATTCCCCTCCCGCTTGCCCGGCGGGTTGTTGACGCGTTGCCTGGCGACGGTCGCGTGGCCGGGGGAGCGCGCGTGCCGGCAGGTGCCCAACGGAGCCCGAGAGGGACCCGAAGGGCCGGACCCGGAGGGGAGACAGCGGCGGGCGGGAGGGCGGGGGCCAGGACTCCCCGGGGGACAAGGACGTCAGGTGGTGATGAAGGGCTGGACACGGCGGAGCGGGGGGGACGAGCTGGGAGGATGCAGAAGGGGACTGGGGGCGGGGGCGAGGCGCAGGCAAAGGGGGCCTGTGAGGGGCAGGGAAGGCGCGGCACGGCTGCGTGAGGATGTCGCTGGTTGTGGAGGGAGCGAAGTTGGACGTGCTGCCCGCTCTAAGCCGCTGGGCACGGGACGCTGATGTTCGCTTGTTTTTTCCAGTCCGTTATTTGCATCTGGTCCGTCGTGGGCGCCGGTGGGGAGATGGTAATGGAGGAGGGGCGTCCGGGTCCCTCAAAACCCGCCGGTGACAGGCGGCCCCAGCAGCGGGAGAAGAAGGACAAGCAGCAGGACAAGCAACAGGCCTGTGAGGGTTTCAGTATTAAAGCCATGATGAAAAACAGCGTGGTATGTTTGCTGCTAGCATAGAGGTGATACTAATTAACTCAACTTGTCCAAGAAGCATAGCAAGTTAGAGCTGTGGATAAAACGTGTTGGAAGGTGTGCAAGTTGCTAATACCTTATCTGGAGTTTGCTGGTTGCTGAAATTACCCTCAGACTTAGCAGAAGTATTACCGCAAGGTAACTCTCTGTGCCTGTGGGAGTCGTGATGCTTTCACCAAGTGCTTTACTTTGGTGCCACAAGTTTTTTTGGGTGTTTTTTGTTTTTTTGGTTTTTTTTTTTTTTTTTGGTATGATTTTGTATTGGCAGTGCACATCCTGTTAAACTGCCAGCCTGTGGAATTGTGTGTGAGGCTTACTGCCTCCCACTTAGCAAAATGCTGTCAAGTGGTAGTGCAGTATTTCTCAAAAGTTTTAATACACTGGCATAGTGTATAAAATTGTTGTGAATGTCACATAGGATGGCAGAGATCTGGAAAATAGATTAGTAGATTTCTTAACAAGCTTGGAAAATAACGAAAAGCTTCCACACTATCTAGGAGAATACTAAACAAACAAACGTTAGTTCTCCAACTTGTAGTTCAAAGACAGAGAAATTGATCCAGCAAGTAACAGTCACAATTTCTAATGAATTTGGAGGCTTGGAAGTTAAAATAGTGTTATAAAGGCCCTTCAAATCTCTTTATACTGTCTTATTTGTATACCTTTATCAGTATTTAGGAGTTAAAAACTTCATCTAGTACAGAGTACAGATGTTCAACATATGAGTGGATGAGGTAATATTACCATACATCTCTGCCTAAACTCATGAATTGTATTCTTCATTTGGACACAGTTCAAGGTGTTAGCAAAGGCTTGAGTCCTCAAGAGTTTTTTGTAAATCTATAGAGTATTCTGACAGCTGGTATGAAATACATGATTTCCCTTTGATTTGCTGAAGTGATCTTCCTGGTGCAGTCTCTCTGATCTTGTTTTCTGCAAGAACATCCTCTTAAAAACCCAAACAAGCATGTCTTTAAAGAAATTTTAAATAGAGTAAAAGTTGTAGACTTTTACTAAAAGCTTAAAAAAAGCAAAAAAGCTTTCTCCTAATTTGTAAAACTACAACATATTTCACCTTACTTGGAAAAACACAAGGTGAACATGACCAAATAATCCCTTTGTTTTAACGATTGTTTGGTTTGTTTAATTTTATTCTAGTGATGCATGGAATTCACTGTAATACTTCAGCAGCCTTTAGGATTAATTTTTAAAATACGTTTCCTGTTCTCTGGAAACAATTCAACTAATGGATATTTGCACATGGTTGTTTACATGTAAAAGACGATTTTGTCTAGAAGAATCAGCCGTTTCAGTGAAGTTTGAAAAAGACGTATTTAATTTTAAAAAAGGAGCTGTGACTTCTGAAAATAACTAACTATGAGTTTAATCAGAATTCAGGTTTGCTTTTAAATATTTATAGAATATTAACTTTTATGGCTGCATTTCTAACTTCCTAAAGATGAACAGAACATTAAATCATGTGATACTGTCATTAAGCAACTGCATACAGGTAAATCTGCTGCCTTTGCAGCTACTCACAGAATAACAGATATTATTTCCTTTGTCATGGACATCTGGAAATCACCCAACTTCCCACTTGAAGTGGGGCTGTCACCAGCACTCAGATCAGGTCATTGATGGTTTTCCTAGCTAAACTGTGAAACCTCCCAGCATCAGGAATTGCCTGACCTCTCTGGGCAACATGTTTCATTTCTGCCCTACCCGTCTGCCCTCTTGCCTGCTGTCTGAGCCTGTCAGAGCTCAGATTCACAGTGTTCTGACCTGCTGCACACGTTCTACTCATAACTGGGTTGGAAGCTCTGAAACTCTTAGTGGTCTTGGGAGATTCATAGTGCCAGGGCTATGTTTTGCAAAAGCTCCATCTGCGGTCAGGCAGCCACCAGAATAATTTCCAGTCATTGTGCAAAAAAATATCTCACTGCCGTGCTTTCTGTGCAGAAGTGGGAGTTCCTTTTTACTTTTCTAACTACTTTTTAAGTGGAGCTTTAGATTTATTAAGTACTTACTTGTCAGAGGTTGACATCAGTGATGAAGTTCTCATGGAAGGCTTGGAGTTGACTAGAGGGTTGAAAGCACAGCAGGAATATCTAGTTACAACATGGTAATTCTTTTTGTTAACAGCATGATAAGGCATAGGGTTAAACGTGTTTGGCATCTTCAGGTCAAACAATGAGGTATTGATTAATAGCCTTTGGTGCAAGCATGTAGTTAGTCTTAAACTCTTAGTGTAGAGTCTTAAATGATTACCATTGTGCATATATGACTGTAAATATTATAGTAAATGTTCCAGAATTCTTTTATGTTGCTTGGGCAAAGAGTGTTCTACTAAGCTATTTTTCATTAATGTTCCTGCATAAAGTCTGCTTTCATAGTCAGTAGTAAGTGCAGAAATTAAGTAGATACAGTATTTAAGACTTTTCTCAGCTCTCACTAAATCCAAAACTTCTTTAGTGAAATACAGTGCTTAACTATTCACCTAAAAATATTCCTAAACTGAATAAAGTGTTTAAGTTATTCCAAAACTGTAAATTTATATGGCAGTTTAGATTAAAAGCAAGGTTCAATAAAGGTCTTCTATAATAACAAGCTACATTTACATTCTAATTGTTTTGTCCTCTGGTGGAATCAAGAATGTTATGTGCTCTTACTTCAGAAGTAGTGCATGTAGAATTAGGAACACAATTAATAAATGATGTATAGACTAGCCAGTATAGAAGTGACTGAACGTGAATGTGGACAGCAAGAAGATATCTTGGTTCACATCTGATCCTCTCTAGATGATATTTTCCTATTTTCTGCAACTCTAGAGAAGATAATAAAGTGTTAGTGTCCCACTTTTCTGTAATGCACCAGTGGTAAATGCACTTTTTCAAGGACAGGATTAATTTTACTACTTAAAGGAAACAGTAGAAAGATAATTCCTATCTATCAACTTTTATTACTGTTACATTCATGTGTTCTATGACATCAGTCAGAAACTGCCTTCAGGAACAGGCCACAGGGATAGAATGAGAAGGTTTACTAGATGGTCTTAGAAAGGAAGGGATACTAAACTTGTTTCTGTATTTCTAAAACCAAAGCAGCTCTTGAGCCTTAGAGACTCTTAGCTATGTATAGGGCACAGCTTTCATCTCCCAAAAAAATTGTAATTGCTCTTAAGCAGAAAAATAGTTATTTGTATTGCAGCTCTGGATTTTCATTCTTCTGTTCTGCATTTAAGAGTCTGCAGGCTGTATGTATTGGGATGAGTTCTCAATGTTTGTACTTTAAACACTTCTCTCAAGCCATCTTCAGTAATGTGTGTTGTGAAGGGCTTTCTTACCCTTTACCCTTTGATAATAACTCATAGCGAAAGTTTCATTTTAACCATGATGTGATTTGTTTATGATCTGAAATCTGTGATTTGTCATTATATTTATATTCATCCACACTGTGTAACCAAGACTACTTTTGTTATTTACCTTGCAGCAGTCAAAGTTTGTGATTTGATTTTGAGGCTTTAGGAAAGAATGTGAGAAAGAAGTTGTATCTTTTGATTATAACAGCTAATTTATTGGAAAAAACGGTGTGTTTTGGGGCAAATAGATGTCAGGTTAGAGTGTTTTGATAAATGTATATTGAGAAGTAGCATATCTGTCTTGGAGGAACTTCTCCAGTTTACCAATAGCAATTGTGTACAATCTACAAGTACACTTCAGTGAACACTGTGAGACAATTTAAACTGTCAGTGCTCTGGAAGGCAATCCTATCTTCTTCCTCTCTCAGGCTGTTTAGTGCTGCTGTTGTTGTGTCCTCATTTGTACAATGTTGGCTGCTCAGAGAACTGATCCTGCTGAAAATACTCCAGCCTGTTAAAGATCACAGTGTTGAACTGATGTCTATGGGATTGAGGCAAGCCAGGCTTCTTCTTTAACAAGGTTCATCTGTTTTGCCCTTCTCCCTGCTGTCCTGACTGCATGCTTCCATCTCTCCTATTGCACTGACACTGTTTTTTCTTGTAAACATAGATAAGTTGGATCAGCTGTAACAGCTCTTAAGTTAATGTATGCAATGAGAAGAGAAGCAGAAGCTGTGTGTGGGGGAATGTGCCCTCTTGGCAATATTGCAGTCTTAATTCATTTGAAACCAGTGTGATGCCAAGTTCTAGTGGAGTAATTCCACAAACATTTACAGCAGCATAAACTTGCACCACAATTGAAAGGTGTTGTTTTCATCCCTGAGCATTTATTCTCTCTGCAATATGAACTTCGGTATAGCTTTGCAGTGAGCTGGACAGGGGCCCTGGTTAAACCTAAATTAGAAGGAGCTAAACATTTTCTTTTTTATTTAATAGCATTTTGATAGACTTGACATACACTTTGATAACAGTATAAGCTCACAAAAGTTGTCACTGCTGCAGCCCTGCCTGTGTCTGTTGCCTGTTTGTACCTTCTCCTTTGTGCCAGTACACAGTCATTCCTCTAGATTGATGAGGCACTTCAGTTGCATTAGGTTCAAACATTAAAAGCTTCAACACAAGGAGGTTTTTATTTCCCCTCATAAGGTTAGATTCCTTTCCAATTCCATGCTTGTATTTACTGTAATGACCTCTTTGATAGTATAATGTAAAAGCAGAATGTACAGAAAAAATACTAATGCTTAAGACCATAATTTCCTCAGAAAGCTTCTATTTCATATTATGTTTTCAGCTATAACCTAGATGACTCAATCATACTGCTCTTATTTTAAAATACTTCAAAGTCAGCACTTTATTTTTGTGAATGTGGTGAAAGGTTGGTATTGTTCATAGTTGCAGTGAGGATGAAAAGATCAGTTTCTTACCATAAGCATGAAGAAATCATGCTGCTTCATTTATGACAATTTGTTACACATTTGAATCTCTAGTAAATCTTCTAATTCAGTCATATGACCTAAAATAGTTAATAAGTAAATTATTGGTTAGA